AACTTACCGTCCCTCAGAGTTGCCTGGTCCCTCAGGCAACTTTAAGGGACCATTTTCGGACATTTTAAACTTAAAATCTGGCCGTTGGGCCCGTTTGATGGATGTCCAGCTCCATGGCAACGCTTCCGGACGTTGAAAGTTGAACTGACAAAGTTAGACCCCTATAATTTACCGTCCCTCAGGCAACTTTGAGGGACCATTTTCTGACGTTTTAAACTTTAAATCTGGCCGTTAGGCCCGTTTGATGGATTCCCAGCTCCATGGCAACGCTTCCGGACGTTGAACGTTAACCGGACAAAGTTAGACCCCTATAATTTACCGTCCCTCAGGCAACTTTGAGGACATTCGGGACATTTTAAACTTTTCTTTGAGGACATTTGGGACATTTTATACTTAAAATCTGGCCGTTGGGCCCGTTTGATGGATGTCCGGCTCCATGGCAACGCTTCCGGACGTTAAAAGTTGTACGGCCAAAGTTAGACCCCTCAAACTTACTCGGTTAGGGAACCCTGAGGAGGCCAGTTAGGACATTTTAAACTTTAAATCTGTTTGATGGATTCCCAGCTCCATGGCAACGCTTCCGGCCGTTGAAAGTTGAACGGACAAAGTTAGACCCCTCTAATTTACCGTCCCTCAGGCAACTTTGAGGACATTCGGGACATTTTCAACTTTTCTTTGAGGACATTCGGGACATTTTAAACTTTAAATCTGGCCGTTTGATGGATGTCCGGCTCCATGGCAACGCTTCCGGCCGTTGAACGTTAAACCGGCCAAAGTCGGACCCCTCATAACGTACCTTCTCCTGGGCCCGGTTCAGGGACTTCTGGACCCGCTTGGCGAGGAACCCTGCCCCCGCCTGGAGGTTGGGACCCATCTTGTTGTCCGCCATGGTGCGCGTCCTCCCGGCTGGAGCTTTTTTTTTTTTGTCGCTTCCTTTCGGGGCGACCTCCCCTGCGAGGAGGCGGCGGAAGGTGGGGCAACTGGTGTCGGGACGCCCGGGGAACCGGTGCTCAGCGGGGCGGAGGCCCCTCCGTCATCGCCGGGTTGCCTGTTCCAGCTCGTTGCCCCCCCTTTTTACACCTACTCCGAGTTCTTGGGAAACGTCTACCTGCTCCGACCTGTTCCGCCGTCAACTCATCCAGCGACGCTCACCTGAAAGCGATGTGCGCAAATTACGTACGTTACGTCGATTCCGGAACGTGACGTAGGTAGGCACGCGGAGGCAACGGGCTTCCTCACTGTTGTTTTTCCTGTTTCTGTCTTTATTATTGTTCTTCCATATTCCGTATTACGGTTTTTCTGCGTCTCTACGTCCACAGTTTTGGGCTGATTTAAATTAATAAGGTATCAAAACGTCCAGCTTCTTCAGGACGTGGCATCTGTGACGTTTGGGGTTGAAATCTTTTCAATTTTTTTAATTCTTTAACTTTTTTTGCTCTTTTGCTCTCACATAAATGAATGTAGTCAGATGTCTGGCTCCATCTGCTGGTCACTTTAAGATAATTGGAATTCAGCTCCAGCTCTTTTGGTACCTTATTGATAATTTCATGGCCTTTTACTAATTTTTTCTTCTTGTAATCCTTTTGCCATTCTTCTTCCACCCTTCAGTTAATCTTTAAAGCATCCTTCATTCTTTGTTGTTTTACTTTCCACTCGCTTTTTGCCACATTTCAGTGTTTTATTTTGCTGATGGTTTCTTTGTCTTTTTCAGCTTTTCTTTGCCTTCTTCTGGTTCTTCCCTTCATTTCACGGCTGTTTAGTAGGGACAGCCTATTCTAGTTTTTATGTTCATTCTGAGAAATATCTGAATGACAGACGCTCTGTAGCTAACGTTTAAAACTTTCTCCCTGTGAGTGCTCTGCGGCTTTAGAGCTGCAGGTGCAGAGCTTTCAGGTAGATTTCAGTTTTAAATGTGGGTTAAAATGGTTTCAAATCACGTTTGATTGAAACCACCTTAATATGGTGACGTTTGGGGGGGGGGGGGGGGTAGCCATTGAGCAGAGCTAATTAGCTGTTTGGAAGCTAGCTAGGTGGCGCAAAAGTTTCTAAATAGTTCCTGGAGTGCAAAAAATAATCATAAATGGTTTATCCATCCATCCATCCATTATCAATACCGCTTATTCCCTGATGGGGTCGCGGGGGGAACTGGAGCCTATCCCAGTGGTCAACTGGCGAGAGGCAAGGTACACCCTGGACAGTCCGCCAGTCCATCACAGGGACACACAGAGACACACAAGGACCAACAACCACTCACGCTCACATTCACTCCTAAGGGCAATTTCCCCAATCTCCAACAACCTAACATGCAGGTTTTTTGGACTGTGGGAGGAAGCCGGAGAACCCGGAGAGAACCCACGCAGACACAGGAGAACATGCAAACTCCACCCAGAAAGGTCCTGGTTCCCCCGGGACTCCAACCCAGAACCCTCTTGCTGGGAGGCGACAGTGCTAACCACCACACCACCGTGCCGCCCATAAATGGTTTACTTATGATTTAATTATTATTCTATATTTATTATTGATTATTGTAGGGAGTTCCACTGAAAGGGCTGGCTCTTAGAATTAGCAAATTCCCACTTAGCTTGGTCTCCCTTTTAAGATCAACGTCATCTTTCATTCATTAAATTGTTGGTGTGATTTGTTTAGTTGGGGAGTTATGATAAATTGTGATGGCTGTGGGTAGGAAAGATGTTCCAACTAATCTGAAGAAGCCTCTGACTGAAGAACCCCTTTTCCAATCTAAGTCTCATGAAGAAGATGGTCAGGATGGTCCATAATACACATCTGGGTACGTTTTGTGCACGCAAAATGAGTTTAAAAAGTGGATTACGTCACTTTCCATGCAAGGGTTGCAGTCTCTTAAAAACAACAACAACAGCTTGATGGGAACATGTGTTTCTTTCATTCAAACGCAGACCATCTTGTACGAATGGCGAGGTGGGAAATGGATTCCTCCCAGACAGACTAAATCCCTCCATGTGAAACTTTAATCATAGATCTAATTTACCATAAGTATTCAAAGCAGCTATGTGGCTTCTATTTGTTCTGGTGAGCTATTACCTGTAAATAAGGACCTGTTAAATACATTTTAAAAGGACCAATCAGACTGGTTGCTGTAGTCGTGCATAATACTGTGCAAGACTTGCAAATGGGAGAATTAAGGAGGAATTTGATTGTTTTTTTCCATGATCATAGCCAGCTAATATGCTAAAATGAACTCCCTGGAGCATTGGTCTTGGTTCTGAACTTGGTCCAGCATTGGAAAGGTGACCACCCCGGGGTTCCTGGTACCAGTGGGAATAAGCTGTGTGTCTTTAACGTAATCAACAGTTAAATAACTCCGTCTGAAGACACTTTAGGAACCACATAAATCTGTGAAATGCTCTGGGATGTTGCAGCCCGTTGGCATTAATGAGATGTTTTACAAAAGGGAAGTTGCATGCTTGTGTGCGGGCGCATGCTATTAAAGGCATGGCAGCACATTACATAGAATTTTTGTATATTTTGTAGATAACTTTGTAGATACCAACCAAGCGTGTCTGCTGACTCGCTTGGTTGGTGACATGAAACTGTTGCTTTTTTCAGCACCCCCTCTCTTTTTATCTTAACTTATTATCTACTCTATTATATGACAACTGTGGCCCAGTGTGACTGTAATGCCAGCAAAATATGGTTTGATATCACGTTAGTGGATTAAATCCCTGTCTTAAAGTTCTGTTCAGGCTAACAACACTTTTTATTTCATAACCTGATAAAGAATTAATGGAACTCGCTCAGAGTTGGAAGCCAAGTCTTTGTCAGATTCCTTCTCTAAATCTTTTTTGTGGCACAAATAATAATAAGACCATTAACCACATCAGTTCACATGAATCAACTTCATTCTGTAACTGCTGATCTATTTCCCTCAACCGTTCAGCATGTGGCGCTCGTCAGTCTGTATTCATGACTACCAATGCACTGTATCATGTAAGTATTATAAAGCTTTCGACCTTTTACCACTATCTGTACACTGTTTTGACGGATTTTGTTTGTATCTGACAGTAATAAATCCCATTTATTTCCTTCCCAAATGGTGAATTTAGCTTCTTGTCATTTAAGAATAAGCTGTTGCCTTTTAGATCTTGTGATTTAGGCTGTAACTGCTTAACTAGGCATCATACTGATCCCACAGTCTGTAATACCTGCCAACTTGATGTGTGTTTAAGAGAATACACCATAGAAAAGGTGGAGAGGGCATAAAATGTTTTAGTATAAAGGTTACATGGAAATAGTGTAGTTGTTATGACGTTCCTTCGCCAACAGAGGGCGGAAGACACCAAATTATTGTTATAAACTCTCTCTCTTTCTTTCTATATATAGATATATAAATATATATGTATGTGTGTGTGTTTAAGATCAACTTTTTTAGATTTATGCCACCTTTAATTAATTAGGATCGATTTGTATTTACTGTCTGTCAGAGGCCATATGTTAGATAACAACCTTATCTATGTGTATTTTAAATAATCGGTTTAGTTTTTAACTAACCTGACTTTAATGACACATTTCTCGAAAGAGTCATCAAACTCAGGGCTTTTACGGCACTCAAGTAATATCCGGTTTTGTGACGTAACTACGTGCGAACGTTTTTAACTTCTAGACGTACCGATGTAACGGGCGGGCGGGGCTTTTGCGCTGTTCTAGACGGTTCTTAACACTGCATACGGTGAGCATAGGGTAGGATATCGAGCACACCCAGAGTAGCTAGACAAGAAATAGCCGGAGACGTTTGGCGGGGTGGATAGTCACCTGCTACCCGGGAGAAAAGCAACTACTCCGGGGCTTACCCACGGGACCCGTAACGGCTTTTAACTGCTCCTGGAGACGGAACTATTTAATCCATTTTGACGGGATTCTCGTTGGGAGACGGAGTCGGTGTGATTGAAGTAGCTTTTTTTTTTTAAACCTCGACCCCCTCCAACGGCTCTGCCTCGCGCAGGCAAACGGAAATAACCGTCAAAATGCCTCCCATCGAAAACGACACCGGGAAGAGCGAGTTGAAGACTCAGATTCAGCTCCTCATTGACTCAAATCAAGTGATGGTCTTCAGCAAAAGCTACTGCCCCTTTTGTGTGAAGGTGAGGCCGTTTTTTGCTGTTAAAAAGCCGTTAAAACGGCCGCTCGCGCCGGTCAGAAACTTCAATTTTTTTCCCCCGCGGAGCAGACGGGGCTCGGCCTAATTTTCTGGGTTGTCCTTTCCGTCTTTTAAACCTAAATCCCAGTATTTAATATTAGGTCAAGCTATTAATTTGAGAAAGTCACGCATTTACGTTAACTTAACGCGAGAAAAATCCCAAACTTGCCCAAACGAAAAAAGTTAGCTTACACAATTTCTTGCTAGTGGTTCGGTTAAGAAACGACACATAATTGGTGAGATATTAAGTCCAAATGACCGATATTTTCTCCATAAATCCCGTAAATAATTTGGTTTAAAGTTAAAGTCATATATTTACATGAATTAATGCGTGCACACATCTTAAAATGTTCTTATAGATAATATTAAACTGATCTTAACAAACTTCCGGCAACATCCTTTTTCACCAGTGATTTAAAGTCTCAGAGTCTTGTTGACCTGATGTTTGTTTTGTTGTGTTTTTGTAGGTAAAGGACCTGTTCAAAGAGCTGAAAGTGGACTGTAACGTGGTGGAGTTGGACCTCATAGGTGAGCCTGAAGCCTTTCTGTGACCTTGTGTCTCAGATTTGTATCGAGGCGTCTGGTGTTTGGTAACAGCTCAAAAGAAACGTTGAATTTGTTTGTTTCTGTGGGGCTAAAGTCTAATATTTGATTATTTAAATTAAAAAACTGAATGAACACTTAGTGTTGCCTTATAGGGGCTATAGCAGACTTTAAATGAAGTCATCTTTAATAATAAATCAGGCTGCAGCTAAAGATAACATAACGGTTCTGTTTATTTATTTGTTAAATTAAATTTTGACACCAAACACTCTAATGGTTTAATGAATACCTAAAACTGCCACCCTTTGACGTCTTTTCTTCTCCCCTCTTTTATCCTGTGTCCACGCCTTTTATTTTATTTAAAAAAATGCGTTGTAAATTGATTTTCCGGTTTTGGGATTTTTTATTTATAACCATCCCCCTGATGCTGGATTGGAGGTGTTGAATTTCTTTCTGTGGGGCTAAAGTCTAATCTTTGATTATTTAAATTAAAAAAGTTTATGAACTGTTAGTGATGCCTTATGGGGGCTATAGGAGACTTTATATGAAGTCATCTTTAATAATAAATCAGGCTGCAGCTATTGGAAACATAACGGTTTTGTTTATTTATTTATTAAATTAACATTGTCAGTAAAGAGTCTAAGGGTTTAATAAATACTTAAAACCGCCACCCTTTATTGTGTATATTTGGCTTTGGCTTCTTTTCTTCTCCCCTCTATTATCCTGTGTCCACTACTTTATTCATTTAAAAAAAATCTTGAGTAAATAGTTTTTCCGGTTTGGAGATTTGAACCCAGCTTTTTCATTTTGTTTTTTTAATTTAAAAACCATCCCTCTGATGCTGCATTGGAGCTGTTGAATTTGTTTCTGTGGGGCTAAATTTTCATCTTTGATTAATCTTTAATTATTCAAATGAAAAAAGTGTATGAACAGTTAGTGTTGCATTATAGGGGCTATAAGAGACTTTATATGAAGTCATCTTTAATAATATATCGGGCTGAAGCTATAGGTAACATAATGGTTTTGTTTATTTATTAATTAACATCATCAGTAAAGACTCTAAGGGTTTAATAAATACTTTAAGTCGCCACCCTGTATTGTGTACATTTGGCTCAGGCTTTTTTTCTTCTCCTCTCTGTTATCCTGTGTCCACGCCTTTATTCATTTTGAAAAATGCGGAATAAATTGCTTTTCCGGATTGGGGATAAATTTCATAGATAGTTTTGAATGATTTAATTTCAAATAAAGACTTTTAATTAAGGTTAAATAAATTGTTAGTTCAGTAAAATCACAACTGGCTGGATGCAACAGCAGCATTCCTGTTTAACAGCAGATTAAAGCCTTTTTTATTTAAAAGACTATTTAATAGATAGTTTTGAATGATTTAATTTCAAATAAAGACTTTTAATTAAGGTTAAATAAATAGTTAGTTCAGTAAAATCACAACTGGTTGGATGCAACAGCAGCATTCCTGTATAACAGCAGATTAAAGCCTTTATTTTATTTAACTCATTCGCTGCCAAAGACGTCTATAGACGTCTTTTATGTTTTTCAATTGCGAGTGACTTGGGGGACGATCGGCGAAAGTTTTTCCGTAAATATCGGCTTCTAGACAGAGTATGGACTAACAAATTTACCCTCTAGGTAGCTGTGCCACTTTTGATGGGAGATTAGCATAGATTGTAAGCAAATAAAAACAAACGCAATGGTTCGCTATGAGAGAAATGGCGCCGGTGAGACGCACGTCGAAGAAGAACGGAATAAGGTAGAAACAAATTTTTTTTCCTGATGATAGAAGAGAGTCTCCTCTTTCTTTTGGTGTGTTTGGTGTTTACATAGTCAAAGCACAAACTATTCTGTGGCTCTTGAAAAATCTGTCAAAATTCTCAAAAAACTCTGGCAGTGAGCGACTCTCTGTTCTGAAAATGGCTGGCAGTCAATGAGTTAAAAACCATCCCTCTGATGCTGCTTTGGAGCTGTTGTTGGTCTCTAGCCTTATCGGCCTTATCAGGATCAGCAGGTGCTCTAACCCTACTGCCCCCCCCCCCCCTCTAACACCAGGACGGGCCCCGCCGGGCACCATTTCTTTTGTAACCTGTTGGTGAAACAGGCAGCGCGCCCGTCTGTGCAATTTGCCGCTCCACAACACAGCTGGAGCTCATAAATGATGCAGGAAACACTCTGAGAAATTATCCCAACGGCAAACAAAGCCGGGTCCCAGCAGTACGGTTGTCATGATACTAACATTTTCAACCCGATACTCAGGAAAATATTCCATACTCGATACCACAAGGATAAAAACAAAGACCCCAAAATTTAGCTGACTTTTGACAGGTTAGTGTCTTTGGTTTCAAACTGACCTGTTACTGATGTTATGGTGGCCCACATTAGTGACCCTAAGTCTAACCCTAACCCTTCATAATTGTGACAAATAAATATTTTTTTGGTTAAACTTGTTTGGACTTAATGTACAAACCTATTTAACATCCACTATTTCAACATAATATTGATAGAGTTGAATTCAGTGTTTGAAAGATTAATTTCACTATTTTTAAATTAATGTCTATATTGCCATGAAGCAATTAGGATTTTCTTGCCTGGGATCTTCCTATTGGTGACCTAATCAAAATGGCCGACTTGGATGTGGGGGAATTGGATATCCATCCTTGGCTTCCTGCAGACTTGATTAATGTTGGCGTGTTGTTATTAGCCATTAGCCGCAGCTAGCAATTCAAGGCTAACGTCACGTTAATGATCATAAACAATGTAAATAAATAAATCAAAGAGAAGGGGGGGGGGGGGG